TAATCCACCCCTCTCAAATGGGGTTAATAAATGGTCGGCGCATATAGGACAACATTCTCTTAATCAATTAAATGGTCAACTCGGTGGTTTTTGTTTTCATAAACTTTGAAAAAACTTTTTTTTTTTTGAGAAAGCTGCTTGTTTGGGAGATAGGGGCGTTGGTATAAGCAGACGCCTCTATCTCCCCCGAGGAGGCTCCATCTATTAGTGGGGAGCAACAACTGCTGGAAGTAAGGAAGGAGATAAGATAAACATTAAAACCTATAGACCAATAACTTTACTAATAGTAGTTTACAAGTTATTGGCAAAAACACTTGCAAATCAGATGATTCTTGTTATGGATGACATAATCCACCCCTCTCAAATGGTCGGCGTATATAGGACAACATTCTCTTAATCAATTAAATGGTCAACTCTGTGGCTTTTGTTTTCATAAACTTTGATTTTATTTTTTATTTTTTTTTTACTTATTTGTTTTTGAGAAAGCTGCCTGTTTGGGAGATAGGGGCGTTGGTATAAGCAGACGCCTCTATCTCCCCCGAGGAGGCTCCATCTATTAGTGGGGAGCAACACCTACTGGAAAACGGGTCCAATGTCTCTTAACATAGCCATTGATTGCCTTCTGAAGATCTCGCAATCATTCTGCCAGCATTGATTGCCCTGAGAACAGGGGATTAACTGCGCGAGAATATGAGTAACCAGAGAGGGGGGAAGAAGGAGCCTCTTCAGCCTTGCTGCTGGGCGCCCGAAATGCATGACGACCTAGCTCCCATCCCCCTGCAGATACAGCCAATTGATCTTTTGCAGCTTAATGACTATGTAAATTATGCACCCCCCACTCACTCTGCCCTTAAACCACAGAAGATCCAGCAATAACAGACGATGGGGGCGGGGGGGACTGATCCTAATGTCCTCCCCCTCCCTCCCCAGCATTTGACCCGCTTGTGTGGGGAGGAAAAGAGCTGGACTTGCTTCTGTTTGATGACTTCTTGTTTTTGGACAGGGTTGGGCTCTCAGCAGAAAAACGAAATGTGGGATATTCCTGCCCTCATCAATTGCCCTGGAGTCCCGGGGGCTATTCTACCCTCCCACCCCTACCCCTTTGTTGACACTGCAAGCTTACTCATACCGCCTCATACCAGTACGTGTCTACCATGGTCTGCTGATGGGGGGGAAAGGGGTCAGGAAAGTCCGAGGGAGGTCACAACGGAATTCTTGGATCCACCATTGTCCAATCTCTGAAACAAATATGATAATCTCTCTTGATCGTCCCTGAAAACTTATGATCATATGGATTGGCAATTCCTAGATGCATGCTTGCAAAAATTGAACTTCGGTCCTAATATGAGAAAATGGGTTATAATTTTACATATAAATGCGATAACACAAATTCTTGTTTACTATCTCCGGAAATCCACCTTCAGAGATCAGTAAGACAAGGAGATTCATTTACCCCATTTTTTTTAATAATTATAATGGAAGCCTAGGGGGTCGATCTTAGAGCTAATCATCATATTAAGCGCCTACATATCTCAGGTATACCCGAAGAGGCGATCCCCATAGCTTCCATTTTTGCGGATGATCTGACCATCATGATGGAAGCCTCAACTGCAAACATGGAAGAAATCAAGAGTATGTTGGACAAATTCTCAGTTGTCTAAGACATGGTAATTAATTGGGAAAATAAAACTCAAGGATGGTGGATCCACTCGAATGGTGATCGTCCACCCGAGTCCCCTAGGGTACAATGGTTACCTTTGGAGGCCCCACTAAGGATACTGGGGGTGTCTCTTTCTGCTTTTGGAAACCTAGTTCAAATGATGAGTGGATCTTGAAGCCTGCCGTAAAGGAAATGAATCAATGGAAAGACCAACACACCTCTATTTTTGGTCGATCACTAGTAATAAACAATGTGGTGTGGGCCTCAATATGGTACAAATCGACACTATGCGCAATTAGTAAGCCAGACACCAAACTTCTTCAAAAATAGGTGTCGGTTTTTCTTTGAAGAGGTAATCATGAAGCAGAAAGGGTAATCGCCCGAGTGGTATGGATTTCTTTGATGCATCCTAAGTCAAGGGGGAAATTTGGAATTTGAAACCTAACATTACAATGTCAAGCCTTGTCCTTGCAATGGATGATACATCTTATTCTTGACATTGACAAACCCTGACAACTATTGGGACTAGAACAAATAAGAAGACTGACGCCGTTAGCTCCTTCTAAGGTTCACCCCCTCACTTGGGTAGAGGATCGATTTTGGAACATCCCTTGGCCAAGTTCACATTTAGGATTAAAAGGGGAGAGAGGTGCACCCCGAGTTGATCTTCTTTTAGACAACTTATGGGTTTTCATACTGAAAATTTGACGCAGACTGCCCTTACCAAATAAATCTTTTCCTCTACGTTTTGAAGAAATCTTGAGGCAACCTTTGTTTTGGAATAGATGGATAACAAATATTAATGGTTGTGTTTACAACAACTCTCAACCTCCCTGGTTTTAGTGGGTGAAGAAAAGAGTAGTTCGGGTCAAGGATATCTGGGGCATAGAAAAAGAGGTTGGATGACAACTCTACAACTTAGGAAGACAATTCCATGCGCTCACAGCCTACCAAAAACTTGGACCAGATCATTTGCTCCATTCCCCTGGGTTTAGTTAGAGATTTGAAAAAAGGGGTAAGATTTGAGGAAGAAGACTGGGTAATGGTCACACATGATTCAGAATGGTGGTAGGTGGGCTAGATAGTGACAACCAAAATAACCACAAATCACTTTCTCCTTCCTTCACCGGCCAACCGAGTCAATTTCTTCCCTTTCAAATAAATATTCAGGATTATAGTATTTTTTTTCTCTGCAATTAAAGGCTGGAGAGTCGTTCAACCTCAATGCCCGATTCCGGATTTACCCTTCACCCAACTGAATGGGTATGGCAAACCGAGAAAAAGGATAAGACACACACTTTACAATCCCTCTGAGTTAAACCACCAGTACCTACCGGTGTTCAAGGCCTGACCCTAAAGCTACCGGTAGGCCTAACCTACAGCTACGGTGACGAGCCTCGAAGTACCGGTACTTCGAGGACATCAAAATTTGTTTAGAATAAATGTGAATAAAATGAAAAGAAAAACAAACGAAAAACAAAGAAAAATTTCAAAAAAAAAAA